TTAAATTCATATAAATTATTTCTAAATTTTTATTTGTAACTACTTATCGTTTATTTTTAAAATTATAAAAATGATAATATGATATAAGAACAATTATAACAAAATAAATAGTATTATTAGAAATTTCGTAAGCGAGTATTGTTTGTAATTTGCTGGAAGAAGTAACTTGAAAAATCAAGGCGGAATAATCAACATTCACATGGCATTCTCCTTCGCGCTACAGATTTATTTAGAATTAATTAATATAAATCGAGGTTCAACCCTTTTTTTTTCTTTATCCCTAGTGCGATATCTAGAAAGTCGTAATGTTCGTGCTTCTTAGTTCGCGAATCACTTTATAGTCGTGAGTCTCATCATCGTCACGATTTATCTCTACCGCTACTGTTCGCATCGGCGGACGATGATTCACGCGTAAGTCTAGACGTCGTTATTTCCCGGAAAAGGTAATAGAGACATACGTGTATCGCGGTCTGTTCGCGTATCACACGCTCGCGGCCTTCGCCGCGCTATCGCGAATGACGTTGCGTCACCGGCGGGAGGCTGCCGTTACGTCACGCACGTATATTCTAGTTCCATCCGCGAGCTACAAATCCCCATGACATATGGGTGCCGCGTTCACGTGAACCTCCATCCGCTCTTAAAATATCAATAGCTGTAACTGAATTGCCGCGGGAAGTAGATAGACCGCACAAAAGTCACTTAGCACAACTTCTAGACAACATTATTTTAGGTTAACATTATTTTATGTTATTGGCCTCATTTCCACTTGTTTGCAGAATCAAAGCTAATCTTTCCACGGTAGAAATTTACCAATAGATCATCATTATTTAACGTCTCAATAATGTTAGAATCTTTCAAGCGATTTAATAGAATTTAATAAAAATGTGTCGCGGAACGATTGCCTACTTTGCATGTGTGTATGGTGTGTGTGTGTGGCGCGTGCGCGCGCGCGCGCGCGTGTGTGTGTGTGTGTGTGTGAGTTGTAAAAAAGGTATTGAAAAACAAGAAAAAAAAGAGAAATTTCGAGAAATCTAATGTTAACAGTTAATGACTTTTTCGAACGCGAGCCAAGAAATCATTCTACGTGCCTAATTCCGATGATCACGGATCGAAAGGTTTCAATCAAACGATCTGTTACGACATGTGTTACGCCGATATATTTATTTCATCGACAGTCGACACCACGACGGGAACATGACCAGGAATCTCGGTTTGCGATTTCGCACGTCGGAATTCGGACGATGGTACCATTCGTGCGGGGCATGGTAACGCGATTCTGTTTGCCTACTTGTCTCTCCCGATTGTTTTTCCCGCCAGTTGGTACGCACGTTTTGTATTTTCTTTTTTTTTTTTTACACAACACACGCGCTGCTCCTGTTTTTCGCGGGTGCGTTCAGGCGGTGCCGCGCGGCGTCGATCGGCAATTGGCACGCCGATTTGGCAGCGGCGCCAATGCGCCGTACTTGGACGTCGCCCAAACGTAATAAATTGCAAATCAGGTCATTGCTTCCCCGCTCGTGGGCGCGAGCTTAACGTTACCGGGGGAAGCCCGAGTGTCGCTTGATCTGCGGAGTTTACACAGCGTAGCGAACGCGTAACATCCGTCGCGTCGGGTCGAGTCGGGTCGCGACGCGACGCGTCGCGTCGCGTCACGTCGCATCGCGTCGAGTCGCGTCGCGTCGCATCTCGTTGGCGTCGCAGTGAGAATGCATCCTCTCTCTATGGATGTTCCCGCGACGCCATCGGCGACGCGACGGTGGATAAACACTATCCGACATTGTCGTATACGGACGCGACACGCCGGCATTTCCCACACGATGAGACCGAAAAGCTCAGCCGTGCCGTTAAAAATGCCGACACGTCTGATTTTTCCGTGTTTAATCCGTCCGATCAATCTTTCCCGCTCGTTTCATTTGCTCAGCTGCTGATTTGTATAACGTTTATCGGTTTGTCTGTAATAACAACACGTGGAAAGCGTAAACAAATAATGTTAGTTCAAAATAATAACAGGACATGGTAATTGTAAACATGAATATGAATATTCATACATATATATATATATTTTTTTCGTAAAGTTTTAATTGATGCGCTATGAAGCGCATCTAAAAAAAAGATTTATTCGAAATGCTTATGTTCTGTCTATGAAATTTCTTCCGCTAAGAAAAAAATGCAAGATGAAAAGTAATGGCAGTCTGTGAAAGAGTAATCGGAGACTACTGCTGCAAAGTGCTAGACATAATATTTACTCCTATCCCGAGACTAATCTCTTCTCTCTTTTTACGGTCAGCTATCTACAGTCAATGGCTTCACCACCATCTTGGATCGGGAAGGTCGACTGGAAGGTCAAAGAAGTCTTCAGCATGTCAGAAAAATATCGAAATGATGTCAATCGGAAAATTTTATTAGATTTGTAAACTCTGTCTAATAAAATCTATTAATATAGATTAATATAGATACTGATTTAATTATTATTATAGAACAACATAAATTTCCAAATATAGATAGAGAAATATAAGTGAATAATAGATTAATCACAATATTGGAATAAGAATGTCGAGAGTGAATTCAAATAAGATTACATTAAAGTAACAGAATTCTATAGTTTAATTTTGGGAATTTGATCATTGTTCTTTCTCTCTCTCTGGCGGCAAGATCTCGGATAGTAAGATGAATATTTGTCGCTACGCTAAATTTAGAGAAATCGACAAAAGATTGGAGCCGAAGTAATAGAAAGCAAAACAAGATTAATTCATATCTAATATATCGATTTTTACCGCATAAATTACATCATTCACAAAAAATCTCTGCAAATTATCCAGTCTCAAATCTTCAACGGCCAAAGTTTCATTGGAAAGAAGGAATCTCTCTGCTCGGGGGGAATGGGAAAATTTTCAGCATTGCAGCCGTGACATTCCGAAGTCGCGTCATCGCTCGGTGCATCCATATGCACGCGGAGGCTCTCGTGTGCCGCAATCTGGCGCGGATCGGGAGCGAGATGAAGAGGGGAGGATTGCGCGACCCGAGAGGAGCGAGGAGGAAGCCGCATCCTCTCCTTTGGCCTTCGCCAAAGAGCGTAGAGCAGCGTCCTCGTCGGCGTCGGCGCGCGCGGGAATAAGGGCGGTCCCGTAGTACGCCGTAATCTAATTTGCGATGCAATCTAGAATAACAATGGTCCGCGTCGCGGCAGTGGCGGCGGCGGAAAGGGGGCAGGCGTGACGGCGGTACGAAACGCACCGCAACATCTCGCCGCCGCGTCGACGGGAAGGAGGATGGAACTTCCCGTAATCACGGGACCGGTAACTTCCAAATTAAGTTCTCCATCGCCCGATGCCGATGGAAACCGAAGCGCGTGGTGGACGCGCCGCCCGACGTCCTCGTACCCTCGGGGCTTTGCCGAGGAAAGGGCTCTTGCCACCGATCGATACCGAGAGATCCGGTATCGAGACATGTCGCAAAGTGGAGCGTGTACTCTAATGTGTTACGCAGCTTTACGTTACGCGAATTATAACACTTCTCTTTAGGGAAATTTAAAGAATATTCATATGTTTGAGAAAAGAAAAACTTGAGCAATTATTTAGATATTTTTTTAAAAATATTCACATCTTAAACGGGGATCAAATAAATATTTTTTAGAAAAATATTTTTCTCGTTATCCCATTACGTTACTTTCCGTTATAGAAGATAAAAGAATTATTTTTCATTGAGGTCTTTGATCGGGCAATTTTCAGAATATTTTAAAGAGTAGATCCAACCTAGAGTAGATCCAACCTAGAGAAGATTACTAAATGTCTACTAAACTACTAAATATTTACTCAATGTTAACGAATTATATCATATGAAGTTACACGTATAAAGGATTTACTACATGCAACTCGCTCGTATATCATCGCCTCGCAAAGTTTTCATCTGAAAACTTGCAATGAAACTATAATACTATCGATTACAGCTGGAGTCTTGTAAATCACGCTCGTTCTAGATTCGTCCTCACTATCGCGCAACGTTCGGAGTAATTGAATCAGGGTGCAGGAACGAAAGAAAAAAGCGGAGGAGCGAGAGAAGTTATGCGTGGCCATGCGAATGTGATCCGCTTTCCCAGGAGGGAAGAGAAAAAGAAGACATAAAAAAAAAAACGCACGCGCCGGATGGACGCAGCTGCGCTGCGACCAAGCCGACCGGCCGTCAAGATTAGATATCGGAAACTTTTTCCTAGATAGCCTTCGACGTTCCACGAATCGTGTAATAATCTCGCCGAAGGTCGACAGCGTCGCCGATAATCACCTCCGCTGGATGGGAAATCGCACTTCCTTTTTTCCCCCTTTTGACCTCCGCATAACTGTTCGCCGCTGACGAGCTGACTACCATGTCCGCAATGACAACGACGCATCTATTGCCCGACGAGAGAGAAAGAGATATAGAAAAAAAATATTCTGACGATAGCGCGTATGCCTTTTGGAACCGTGACGCGGCGATATCATCGGGAATATGTAACGAGACCGGCGATTATTCAGCGAAATGCGCCAGAAAGTAATAAGAAGCAGAAACGATTACGCGGAGAATACGATATGGATGTTTGTCGCGGGTATTCGTTCGTTATTTGTACAAAGAAGCTATTCGACGAACTCGGTCAAGTCTGCTAAAATTAGTACGACGTATATAGTTTCAATGGAATTGTGCGGAAGTGTGCTTTGATTTTATTCCGAAATACATTTCTCTTCGAGAGATATCTTAGAGATAGATAATCCATCATCGATGCAATTTACCGCTAACTTCCCCAATTATCGTAATAAATTTATCTTAATGTTTTCCAATATCAGATATTTTAAAAGTTTAAAAACGTATATAGAAATACTTTCTCGTTGTGTTATTTTTCGCCCTTATGAATCTATCGATGTATCTATCGACGACATGGCATACATTATTAAAATAAAAATTCCACGTTTCTTTTGTAAAAACGTAATTTCTTAAAGTTTCACTTAGACGATCAGGTAGATGGTACTCACGGATATATCAGGATAACGATAATGATCCTGCAGTAGAAGACAGCGCTGTAATGGCGGCGGCGGTGGCTCCTCACGACGATGACGGTGACGATGATGCTGGTGCCGATGGTGGAGAATCGCGGCAGAAGCGGAGGAAGCTGAGCCGGGAGGAACCGGCTCGTGCACCAACAGCCGACGATGATGAAGATGACGCGATATCGTCGCCAGGACACCCACCAGTGCTCCGACTATCAGCACGAGCGCCGCCGAGACGATGTAGCCGCTTGCACCCACTGCAGCAACCGGAAATCACGATTAGTAAACAATTTCGATCGGAAACCTCGTCGCCTTGTCAGTCTCCTTCTAATTTCGCATTTATCTATTCTATGTGTCGCAACTGGCGTGACTTTTTAGTAGCGAGGCGTGAAGATAAGGCTATCGTTAAGGCGAAAGTGAATCTCTCTGGACGTGAAAAAAATTAGGGTTACACTCTTGGCGAATTCGACTGAATGCGCCCTCTTTCGATGTATAATATTCGATTGGCTTGCACTCTACCGATTCAGAATCTATGCGTGTTCAATTGAAGGTGCTATTCCATAGACACGGAAAACGGAATCGGCAAGGTGGAATGGTGGGGTCAGCCAATCAGCATCATTCTGAAAATTTCATAGCTTTCCGTTCCGATTTTAAGCACCCTGGTGGAATGTCCCATAGAGCATATTTTTCAAGAAACGAAATCTATTCTAATCTTATTTTTTTCAATTTGATAATTTTTCATCTTTTTTATTTAATTAATATATTAATTGAATAAAATGATGAAAAATTATCAAACTGAAAAAATAAGATTAGAAAGCGGATTCCATTTCTTGAAAAATATATTCTAGAGGGAACTAGGATGCTTAAAATCGGAACGGAAATTTTCGGAATGATGCTGATTGGCTGTCCCCACTATTCCACCTTTCCAATTCCGTTTTCCATGTTTATAGGATGGCACCCTCAATCGAACACGCATAGATTCTGAATCGATGGAGCCAATCGAATACTATACACCGAAAGAGGGCGCATTTAATCGAATTCGCTAAAAATGTCTAATTTTTTCACGTCCATATATATATATATATATATATATATATATATATATATATAATATATATATAGAGTAGTATATATATAGTGTGTGTGTGTGTGTGTGTGTGTGTGTGTGTGTGTGTGTGTGTGTGTGTGTGAGTGTGTGTACACACACACATTATTATAATTTCTATTATTTTACATATTTTATTTTTTTAAATTATTCTATATTTTTTTCTTTGAAATGGCTCAGAAATGGCTCAAATGGCTATGAGCCAAAGAAGAAATTCTATGATTAGCTATATATATTGCATATATAAGCATTCAAGAAGTTATCAATTGCACTGAGTTAGGTCAGTGTAAATTACTGCATCCAGGTTAGTGCAGATACTCACACTCAGTTCAGTATAAAAATACGCACTCCAAGGACGTGCCCCTAGTAACAAAAAGTTACTAGCCACTGGAACGGAGCAAATACATATCAATCGCTATTTGTAATATGAAGGATATTAATTATGGATTTTTTAAAATAAATATTTACATTTTTCATCATCATATTATTTTATAAAATTTTTATTAGATGATATACCATAAAGGTCAGAAGCAAATTTATACAATATATTAATAAAAATGAGATAGATATAAAAAAAATTGTATGAATAAGTTGTACAAAAGAGCTTATACTAACTTTTTTCATCTACTCGACTTCATTAATATATTGTATAGATTATTTGATTTTCCTATTTTTAACACTCTGCATATAGACAAATTCTATAATCTTCGTAAAATAAATTTAAAAGTTTAAGTTATTATAAATACTGAATATCGTGTTACCTTTTCCCACAAAATGTAATGTGTCACATTGAATAAATATATATGTATATAGCAATATATAACATTGAAATTATTTCTCGCATCGCATAATACAAGTAAAGGATAAAAATATTAAATATTAAAAAAATATAACATTAAACAAAATGCAAGTGATGTTTTACTTACGGAAACGTGTGATGTAAAAGTTTAACAAATCGCCTGTCTCGTATCAGGATTGAGTTGTTGGAACATAAACGGTTACGACTCGAATAATGTCCTGTGCAGTTTTTCTAGTCGGCGACAAATCATCGACACGTGGAAACGATTAGATGTCATTTTCTTGCTACTACCAAGGACTCACGAATGTGATCGACATTTTTTATCGTTCGTATATTTTCCGAGCGCATCTTTAAAGAAACGGAAAATATACGAACAATAAAGAATGTCGTACAAGCTGCCGTATCAATCGCGTAATATCGTTTCGTCAAACGCAGTTAAATGCACATAAATCATGAAACACACGCATATAGTATGTATGCTAATGAATCTATCTATCGCTCGAATAACTGATTCGTCGATAATTTGTGTCTGATTATACAATATATTTGGATTCGATATCGAACGAGGTGCTAAATACAGGTGCCAAAATTCTCTCCTCCTGATATATGAGAATTTCCATTAAGATTTCCTTTAAGTGCTCAACTACTCAAATCATGAATTTTAACAAGTTACAAGTACTGTTAATAGAGAAACATTAACTCAGTAAAGATCAAATATTCATTCTTAAAATAAACAGTTTATGTATAAAATATCTAATGAACAATTTCCCCTTAAATCTCATGATATTTGATTCCGAGATTAAAGTTTTTTGAGAAAATAATCATGTCGTCCAGAAATTATGGGATCCTTAAAAAGCGATCATAAGTGTATTTTAACCAACATTTTTTACATTATTAAACACAATTTTTAGTCGTGTATTCGAATGATTAATTAATATCGATGGACCTAACGCGTTAAAGATCAACAGGAAATCACGCAGGTCTGGTAGACTCGACTCGGGTTGCGGGAAGGATTGAATCATTTCTATCGCGATCCTGCGATCCTTTGAAGCATCGTATGAGCGGTCTGATCGCCGTTTGGCATCACGAACGTCAACGCCGGCAGGTGCACCGAGATCGAACGACCGCATCTTCCTTCCCTCCCCCCTCTCCTCCCGCACCTCTTCCCCTCCGATCGTCGCCTCTCGCTAGCAACTGCGGAACAGCTCGGGTCGCCGGCTTCGTCCGAGACGGCCTCCATCGCGCTTCCTTGTTCTCCTCCTCTGCCGCGCGCCGCAGGAACACGCGTGTCCGTGCGCGTGTCTCGGCTCGGGGAGATACCGCCCGGATGCGGCGCGGCGAAGGACCGATGACGACGAGATTGAGAACAGGGACGGCGCGAACGTTCGGTTAGATCGGCGGTTAAGTCGCCTCGCTCCCCCCTCCCCCCCCCCCGCGCCGCCGCCGAGCAATCGCTTCGAACGATCAAGTAC